ATTTGTTCTGGAATACATTGCAGGTTGCAATTTTGTTAAGCAAAGTTAAGTAGCAGGAAAAGCTCATTTGTGCCTAGTGTTTCATACTGGTGAGTCCAACAATCACCTAGACAAGATCATACCCAGATAAGCAAAGATACCAGGTTTAAAAAGGTCACATTTCTTGAGGCTCAGATCCTATTGAACATTGTCTGGTACTCTCTGAGTTCCATGTCTCCTTGATTCAAAGTATTGCTTGCGCTGGATCATGTCGACCACAAGTGACCATATGGCTGGATTATTAAACGCAGCCAGCGGGTCTTCTTGGCTGCTTGATGATTTGAGCAAACTCTTGTGTCGTTTTTGAAAGATTGTCCAGAGAGTTACACACACATGAGGTTCAAGATTGAACACCACTTGAGTTGATGGGAGCTGTAGTAGCTGGAAGAAGGTAGAGAGACCGGAGTTCAAGCAGCTAAAGACCTTTTGCCTTGCACTGAGGACTAGACTGTGAGAGATAGAAGTTGAAGAGTGGACTTGACTGGCAAGTCGCTTGAATGCTTGAATGACTTTTTTTTGAGACAAGAGGTGTGGCATGATGTGTGAAATTGATATATATGATGGGGTTGTGAAAATAAAATAAAATGCAAGATCAGTGCAAGAAACCTTGCACGTTGGTCTTGCACAGGAGTTGCACAGGTTTGAGAACCATAAATATCAAAAGATAGATGTAATGAACCAATTGAATGATGATGGATTTGATTTGAAGAAGCTGATGGATTGGTAAACTTAGCGAAGTCCCAGGCTTGCACCTACTTGCAAGGCGCCGAGCAAGGGACTTGTGCAAAACTTGCACAAACTCCTTACTCAGGGTTGGAGGCTTTTGCAGGAGAGCACCTTAAAAGGCCTCTACAGCTTTTCCCTTCAAGCAATGGTTCTCTGGACCAAGGGAAAAGACTGTTCGCTGTTCTTTTCCACACATTGTACATGTTTTTTCCCAAGGAAGTTCCTCCCCTCCTTCCTTTAAATTGTCTCAAAGTTTCTAGCAATCTATATGTAATTGTAACATGTGTGAGCTATATGTAGGTAGACTGCGGTGAGAAAACCTGATAAAATTTGCAGGCAAAACTTGAAATTATTTAAGCTCTGGCTGTTTTATCTTTGTTGCTTTTCATTGCACCACTTTCATATCACCTTTGCACCTCCTTCACACCACCTTTGAAACCTTTGCACAGTATCAACACAGATGCAGACATGCCATCTTTGACTTGCAGTAAACAGGTAACTTATGCCTTTCTGAAGATAACCAAGTCAATACAACTTGAATGTTTCTTTCAAAAGCATGAGCTCACTGATATCATTTCCAGCAAAAACACATTGATCTGAAGAAATTCAGTCACTGATGGCTCATTTGTACTTTTCTGATATCAGCTTGATCCTACTTGTATCAATGGAATGTTGAGGTAATTTGACAGAAATTTGTTGATTAGTTGTTATGTCACAGTTGGCTTCTAGGCCACTGTTGTTACTTGGACAAAATGAAAAAAGAAAAGATACTTAGCACTCACAGCAGTGACACTACAATGCTACAGGTTACAGGTGAAAGTTTTTTAGAAACTTTGAGACAATTTAAAGGAAGGAGGGGAGCAACTTCCTCAGGGAAAAAAACATGTACAAAGCGTGGAAAAGAACAGCAAACAATCTTTTCCTTTGGTCCAGAGAAGCGTTTCTTGAAGGGAAAAGCTGTAGAGGCCTTTTAAGGTGCTCTCCTGTAAAAGCCTCCAACCCTGAGTAAGGAGTTTGTGCAAGTTTGGTACAAGTCCCTCGCTTGATGCCTTGCAAGTAGGCGCGAGCGTGTGACTTTGCTAAGTTTAATGGATTGGTCTGATGAGATATCTTTTTCAATTTGACTGATTCTACCTTTGAGGTATGTATTGGGTAAAATATTGTAATTAGACAGTCATTGGATTTGAAACATCCAGTAACTTTGCCCGGCGGTAGCCTTGAAGTTGAGCATATGTTTTGACGGATCCAGCATCAGTTGAGACAATCATGGCAGGACCGCACAGCCCAGCACCCCCCACTCATCACTGTTGATCAAGTTGAATGATGACTCAGTGCTCCTGGGGTCGATGCCTGAGTCTGGCTGCTGGGGATGAGGAAAGCTGGGCAGGCTCAGTGTTCCAATTTGGCCTGGACAGAAATTTCACTGTTTTTTAGATACTTTTGCGCAAGAGCTTTGGGCCCCCTGGGCCCCTGAAGTTGGGGGCCTTCTCCACGGGCACTGTTCATTGGTCTTGCAAGGTCACTGTCTCAATACATGCCAGTTTCGTACCAAAATATGGTTTTTGACATTATATGCACATTGGTTGTAAAAATATGGAACAATATGCAAGACGATTGCATTGCATCAGAGGATTCAGCCATTATTTTTCTTCAATTTTGACCCCTCCTAGATATTGTTTAATTGTCTATGTAGTATGTGTCCTCAATTCTCCAAATTCAGTGGCAAATTTGTGATTTGGTATAGTGACATCTTCATCTTCTGTTTCTTGACCACTTCTCTAAGTAGAACTCTTTGTTTGAGGAACTCTTGTCATCAAAGTGTTATTTGAAAATGGGGTTAGGGTTTCCTGTACCCTGTAGGTTTCACCATACTATGATGTCTTCTTGGACCAGTGAAGATAGTGGTTCAGTAATTAAAGTTGGATTCCCAGACAAAGTGTTTTCACAAAGCACAAATGATTGCAATCAATGCCTTAGAGCATCCCCAACGCGCCACCGGAAACGTAACCTTTACATAGGGTTTACTTAACGTTTCTGACAGAAACGTAATGTCATAATTACATTTGCAAAGATTTTCCAAAAAACACCCTCCAGCGCGAGTAAAAAGTTGCACAGTCACTGCCAGCATTAAAGAGGTTCCCAGGTGGGAAAGTGACCTAGGCTGGGAACATGATTGAGAGTAAAATGGTCATGAAATCATCTTGCACTGTACAACTGAGCCTTGAAGCATATGCTACATATGTGCAAACATCTGTGTAAATCCTTAGCTATCAGCTACATACACATCAGCTCAGTTATCTGTTCATCTGGATAGGAAAATTACATGTAATACATGTTGTAATTTTGCTCAGATTGTGACAAGAATTTTGAAAAATTGACTACATATATCACAACGACTACTCAGGCAATATTCCTTAGGCTGTGTAACAGTAACAGAAGGGGAATCTGGTCCCTGGGACCCAGATTCCCATCCGGGAACCTCTTTAATGCTGGCAGTGAGTTGGCCACGGGTGTGACTTTGTTTATTCCGCCAACTGGAATATGTACAGCTTGTTCTGATTGTTTCTAGCTGAGCCAGAAATCTTGGAAAACATGATTTCACACAATTTGGACACGTCGAGAAAACAAAACTCACCTATTTTGTTCATCCGTGTCCTATCTCAATACCTTCAAGCACATATTACCTCACCCTTGATTGACAATTTGGATGTGCTTAGATCACATTCAGCTTGCGTGGTGCTGCCTACTGAAGCTGAAGCTGAAATACAGGTGTCCAAGTGCCATTTGTGACACCTGTACCAGGTTTCCAGTTCCTGGCGCATTGGTGATGCTCTTAGAGATTAAACTCAAACAGCTCTTGGCTTATGTTAAATGGAATTGAGCTTCAAATATTTTGACTTTTTGTGTTGCCTATGTCCTGATGTCTACTATCTATTGGTGGATTTCTTCACAAGTTATGAATCTCTTTCAGAGATCTCTGCTTGTTGCATTCACTGCCAGGATTAACTGCTCTCCCAAATGGAATAATGTATTTGTTGCAATAATCCATGGGCATGACAATAATTAATTATTCCAAAAGAATGATTATCCCAATTGGGAGTGTCTTTAGTCCTGGTAGTGATTCAATCTATTAAGATTTATATTGTGTCTGGTTGTATTTTTTTAAAGATATCACACAGCTTCCTAGTGGTTTAAGATATCCTCACCAAAACCAATTCAGATTGAATTGTTTGTTTCCTGTCTTCTTCCAAGAGCTTTTCTCTTGGCCAACATAAATTCCTTGAATTGCAATTTCAGTATGTCTAAGTCTTTGGTGTGCAGTGCATTTCATATAATCATCCCAAGCAATTGATGCAACACTTTGTTGATAGTAAATAAAATAAAATAAAATGCCACACATCCAAACCATCCAACACAAATCAAATACCAGAGCAGTTGTAATTTCTGGGTCTGAAAGATACTTCACACCAACCTCACATAGTTTGTAGCTAGCTGAGGGGTGGGTCACGTAGTATACCAGAGATGTAGCTGACATTTTGACCGCGTGAAAAGTATCATCACGGACAAGAAGTATTGAAAGGTGAGCAAGTGTAAGATTTGACACGAATTCTTGGCTTGTGCATTCTGGTCACAATTTCATTTTGGCACTACATTGCAAAATTCACATTTCTCTGTCAAACAGTTGAAAGTTTCTGGCGTCTGAGCCGCATAATACCCAGCTTGCTAAACTACGGCCGGTCTTACAAGCACTGGGGAACACGGCTCATCCATATCACTGTGGACAATTTCACAAGCCTTTTGGTGTATGTCACAGTTTGTATCATTAGCTCGATGAAAAAAATACTACGTAGTAGATGTATTTCATCGAGTTGGCACGTTCTCTCGTTCTAGAACCTTATATGACGTGCGCGGGGATGGATCTTTGAAACGGGTGGGGTGCATCATGCTTCAGCTGAGTCTCACCTCGTTGAACAATCGGAGGCGGTGTGATAAAAATGTAGCCGGCGCGCCGCGGCAAACCCACGGTGTAGAGATGCAAAACTCAAAATCCAAAAGCAAACTTGTCGGCTGGATTTTAAACACAAGATCGTCATCGAGGTTTTGGCCTACGGATTTATCGGTACCGGAAGCGCAACCTTTTAAATCAACAATCCGCGAGTAAATCTTCAACCCGGATTATCCCCCACATTTCCTTTCATCAGGCCTCGTAATCAAATCTTCATAAGTACATCAACATGAGCTTCTTACATAGTTCTTTAGTCTCATTTGGCGTAATCACATTCTTTCTACCAGCGATATTGACCTTTTTAGAGGAGACTGATATCATCAGCCCTCTGTTGCAAGAGAGTCAATCTCTTGTCCTGACCACTCATCATGATGCAAGATCTGGCACTCACCTACCTGCAAAAGGGGTTAAACTCGCTGGCTTGCGGATCAACCCTCCACTCCCAAAAAAGTCTCTCAAGGTACTACATAAAGGTTTTGATAAGATTTGGAAGGATCGTGAAGGGCCAGATCCTCAAATATCGTCTGCCGCAAGCTGGTCCAAGTATCACGAAGTAGCTGATAAAGTGGCAAACCAAGAGGATCAGCTTTGGGCAATTTCAGAATTAGCAAAACAAGTTCGCGATTTGGGCCCCAAGTTTACAGACAAAGTCTTGGATACGAGGGAAATCAAGCAACAAGTCATCCCTCCCATTCAGAATGCTTATGTCGCCCTTCACAGTGATTATCTGGGGAATAGAGAAAGACTTTGGGCTGCAGGTGTCCTTGCATGCCTCTTATCCAAGACCAAAAACCGAGAGAAAGATTACTCAAAGAAGCTGAGAGGCATTGATACTTTGAGGGGAGAGCGTGAAGCCTTTTTTCTAAAAGGTTGATTGATCACTTTTAATAGTTGCATTGTGATTGAAAAACTAACTAATAAACTCATCCTGTTGTGGGTTATGATACGTAGACCTACCTGTGGCCAAAGTCGTTGAAAAGATGTGGTTTGATCCGGATTGGAATACCGACAATTGTGAGCGATGTCGATTATCTAAGCTTCCCATTCTTGGATTCGAGTTGAATAAACACTTTCTTTGAGTACAGTCATCCATATTCTTGAGGCCTTAAGTAGAGCTTCAGTGGTAGCCTCGATTGAAAGAGAGATGCCAAAGATCTATCAACCCCCCTTCGATGCTTTCCAGTCTATCTTTGGCACCTTTATCCAGTTAGATGTTCCCATGCATACTGACCAGGCCCTAGAATTCATGGAACTTATATCGAGATACATTTCATGGCACATTGGTCACTCAGGTGGTGAACCAAAGCCTCCTGATCAAAAAGAGAAAAACGTGATCCGAATGTTATTTCATATGGTCAAATACAATGGTGAACAGGGTCAAAAGAAATTCAATGACTTGATATTCAGACCTTTAGGTCTATCCAAGGTACTCCAAAGCGATATCTTGATTGAGCTTGAAGCTTTGAAATTACCTCCCCACTTGGAAAAGGCTTTCAGACCATTCAAAGATATAACAAAATTAAACCTTCACAGCGTCTTGGGCGCTTTGAACGCTCTGATTGTCGACCACCCCACACAGCACCACTGGGAAAAGCTATACGGTCTCCTTAATTTATTGGTCGCGTATGACAATAAAGTGTACGAATATGTTGATAAAGCACTTGAAGGATCACCAAACCTGGTCTCGGAAATGTTGAAAATGTCAAAAACATATCGACCAGTGGAATTCAATCCGGCGTGGGCCTCGTCCGGCGTGAAGTGGAAGTCACTTCAGCGTATTCTTCAAAGGCAGGGTCAGTCAGGTTGAAATATGACATGGAAAACAACATACTAACAGAGTTCTTTTACGCCTGAAACTCAACTATTTTCAGAAAGAGAACACAATGCGTGGAAACATTTCAACGCGCTCCAAGATCACCTGATTGAAAAAGGTTTTTTTTCTTCAGCTTACATGGCAGAATACTCGCAAGTCTTGAGCATCAATGACAAAGTGCCAAACAGAAAAGTACGATTGCTTGAGCTTTTGAAGCATATACTTGCAAAGATTTCCACAAACCAAGGAGAATTTTCTGATTCAGATGTTCAGAACTCAATAATGGAGTATACCCTGTTATTGATATCACTTCGGGATGAGCGGAGAGGAGTTTTGGATTTTTACTTTCCCACGGACCGTCCGCTACCTAAGGAAATATCCACACAAGCTTTTCAGGACTTGCAAAGATTCTATAAGCCAGGGGGTGAGCCAGGGAATGATTACACTTCGCAAGATCTTGAAAGATTTATTTATGGGTTTCAAAAGGTAATCTATCCTACTTTATCTTAATAACCTGCTATTCCCTTTCTCTAATCATGGCTGCGCTTTACCCTTTTGTAGAGGGTCCAGAAATCCTGGAAAGAGATGGATCACAAAGCTAAACCTCATCAGCAAGGGTGAGCCACAAAATTTCTAACCCAGTACTATCGGCTCAAGTCAAGAATGGATGCGATCATACAAATTTTTGAAGACTAAATTATGAATGAAGCAGGCTGTTGGGATGAATGTTGTATCATCGACTGGAGAAAAATCGTTGTAAAAGAAAGTACAATAATTTACACATGCAGTTGTCCATTTTCCAATTATCTACGAGGATTCTTTCAAAGTTTCATCTTGATCACATATTTGAAGATAGAGCGTTTTTGTACAACAGAATCCCCTTTGCAAGGGATATTTGAATTGAAATTATATTTCACTTGAAATACACCGTGACCAGAGCAGTGGTGATTTTACTGTAAAAAATCACGAATCAAAGCAAAAGTCACCCAAAGGTATTTCATGATTCCTTGTCAAAATGAGAAGGCAAGCTCAATCAAGTAAGGTCTTGTGGGTCTTCTTCTTTACCATTGAGCCTTTTCACCAGACCTTTATGAAATTCAATCCTTCCTTGAGCTTTTGGCCTCCTAGGTCAGAATGTGGATAGTTCCGCCCTCACTTCCCTTGATCAGAGTCATCTTGCCTTTTGATCCTGTTAAAAGATATGCACGTAACATTCCCATGAATTTTCTAAGGGAAGCTGAATAGAGTATATCCCTACTCAAGGAAGAGGCTGCAGGTACGCTACTACAAATTATCTTGAATTCTGGTTATGAGGCTGAGGTTTCCTTCGACCCACGGAATTTTCATTGAGGTCACAAGCACTTCAGGCTGAAGGTTGAGTTCATGAGAGTAAACTCGAGTTTCCCTTTCCTGCCCGCATTATAAGTCAGAGATCAGCTTTGACTTCCGGAACAGGGCATGACACTTTGTATGCCTTGCCTCTTGAGTTCAAGGCTCAAGGTCTGCTCAGATGGATGATACGAGCAGTTACGAAAATGGTAAACTCACATCCTTTTACATGTGGTATTGCTACACCACTCTGCATAAATGTATGAGCTGACTTCTCCCCAGATTTCCAACTGGACTCGGAGCTCAACTACTTTACTCTGACCCCTGACTTGAAGCTGAAAGCCAACAACCTCAACACTATCACTGTCGAATGCTATTCAGATTAAGCTGAACTACATTTAAAAGAGTTTCCATGGTCCGAGCCCAAGCGACGAGGTCATCTGCAAACCATGGTCTACCATCTCTTTGCCTCGCATTGTCAATCGAGGGTCAACTGTCTCAATGTCATTAGGACTCGCCAGATCCAACGCTGTTCGTCTAGGGTCAGCATCTTTCATCCTGGACACTCGATCGATCAGTTCAGGCCGATAAAAAACAGATTATAGTAGGTGACGAGGCCATACCGATAAATTCTTTCGAAGCACAGTAACTGATACTAAACTCTGACAAAGCTGCAGAGCACCGCCTGTTCTCGAAACATCTCGTGGTCAGAACACACTCATTGCGAGCATCTTCAACTCTGTTCTGATACACGTAACTAGAAGGCGACCGTCTAGAATCAATCTCTGGCTGAAAGGCCCTTCATCTGGATCTTTCAACCCGGTTCGATCGTACCTGTGTCGCCGACCACTTCTGTGGCTTCTTCTGTCGCTATCTGGAGCAGGAATTTACTCTCATTTGTATTCAAGTTTCAATCCGCACTTCCAGCTCGAATCATCACCCGATCTCATTCCAGCCCTCGATGTTGAAGTTGAACCCTTTCATCGATCATGGTTTCAACGGCTATTGGATTCGATAGACTACTATCTCATTGAACCTTTAGCCACAACACGACGGTTTCTCTTTCTCGTTACACTTTTCTTACCCCTCCTTCTTACTTCACCAATCTTATTGCTTGAGTTTGTTGAGCTTGGTCATCCAGCAAAGCGACGGAAACGAAAACAGGATGGATCATTAGTCACTGAACGCCGAACCACAACTTGGTGGTACCATGTGCTAGTTCATGCGATGCAGCTTGCCGGTCCTACGTTTATCAAAGTAGGTTCTGTTACACATTTTTTTCGACAAATGAGGAAGTTGATTCGGTGTATCTTGTAGCTTGCTCAATGGGCCGGATCACGTGCAGATCTCTTTCCAAAGACTTTGTGTGAAAATTTTGGAAGATTGCATTCGAATGGAAGCCCTCACCCAATGAGTCACACAAGAAAGGTCTTAGAAAAGGCGTTTGGGAAACCCTTTGATGAGATCTTTGTTTCTTTCGATGAGACACCTTTGGGAATCGGAGCTGTAGCTCAGGTGTGTCTTGGTACATATGATCGCCACATCCTGAACTAACCTATCAACTTCGTTTTCAATCAGGTTTACCGCGCAACCCTCAAACCCGATTTACTCCCATTGTCTTACCTTGAACCAAAACATTCAGACGATAAGCCATCACTAACAGTAACTAACCTGTCACGAAAGCTCTCAGCATCCATGCCCCCATCTATCAAACCATCGACATCCGTAGCAATCAAGATCCTACACCCGCGAGTCTCCAAAACAATCTCACGGGATCTCAAGATAATGCGATTTTTTGCAAATATCATCAATTTCTTCCCTGGTGCAGAATGGTTGAGTTTCCCGGAAGAAGTTGAAGTCTTTGGTGACCTGATGAAGAGTCAAATCGATTTGAGGCTTGAAGCCAACAATCTGGAACGGTTTGAAAAGTTCTTCGAGTACAGGAAAACCGTCAGTTTTCCACGTCCATTAAAAAGTTACAGTACGAAGGAAGTCTTGGTCGAAGAGTTTGAGGATGCACTACCATTGAAGTTGTTCTTAAAAGACGGTGGAGGTCCTTTTGATCATCGGATCTCGGACATCGGACTAGATGCATTTTTGGTGAGTGTGCTTACTCATTTGAACATCACAAATCCGTCTACTGAGTCAAAATTTCCATCTTTTGATCACAGCATATGCTTTTGATCGACAACTTTGTTCATGCTGATCTTCATCCCGGTAATATCATGATCAAATTTTACAAACCCACAACCCAATCTGTCCTCCGTTCAATATGGCGAAAATACACAAACCAAGCTGAACCGGATGCGGGAGAAGAAGATGAAGAATTAACCAGAGCAGTAGTGCACGAGTTGAAGAGTGTATCACATGATCATACAGAATGGATCAAGAAACTTGAAGCTCTAGATCGTGAAGGATATCAATTAGAATTGATCTTCATCGATTCCGGCCTTATAACCTCTTTGTCTGATACAAACCGAAAGAACTTTTTAGCGTTGTTTGAAGCTATAGCCAATTTCGATGGATATCGGGCTGGAAAATTAATGGTTGAACGGTGTAGAACTCCAGACTTGGTAATTGATGAAGAAACCTTTGCACTTAAAATTCAACACCTCGCTTTACAAGTCAAATCACAGACTTTTAGTCTGTCGAAAATTAAGATTAGTGATGTTTTGATTTCAGTTTTACATTCTGTACGAGAACATCATGTCAAATTAGAGGCAGATTTTATCAATACTATTCTTTCGATTTTGTTATTAGAAGGGATTGGAAGAAGATTAAATCCTGATATGGATTTGTTTCAAAGTGCTATCCCGATTTTGAGGAGTTTGGGTAGTATAGAAAGTATTCGAGAGGGGGTCTCGACAAAAGGGATTGGTAGTATGCTCAAGGTACGTTCTTTTTCTTCTTTAATTGAGAAGTAAATTTGCCTGATCTAATCTTGAGGATTCTTTTCAACAGCTTTGGTTCTGGCTTGAGGCTAGACAGATGGCTGGGATCGCTGTTAGTGAGGTCGATTCAATGCTCCGTTATGATCAGTAAGTCGCTTTGATGTTGACTCTCAAAATCATACAAGCAAGCTGAAATGTGTAATACTGTTCTTAGATTGATGCCTAATATTTGAAAACTTCAACCCCTTGATCCAATGCTCCATCTGTTGCCTTTTGTTTTACCATTTTGGAGGGGTATCCAATGCCAACTGGTCCCTTCTACTTATAATCTTTAGTGATGTGCAATGTTTATAAACCACATTCTGTCTCTCTCATATTTTTATAATCTCTCTATTGAGTGTTGTGTTGTAAAGCATAGATAGATCAGGAGTACCTGTGAGTGTGTAGACATTTATTTTTTTCTCATTGACATCCCTTTTCTCTGCATTGGTGTATATATTCGAAAAATAGAAGCGTTTGATTTCTTCATTAGACTTGTGATTGGGAGGCCCATGCTCTCTAATCATCACCAAACAATCCTAATGGGCTGAGATGGTGCACTTGGAAGCAATTGTCTTGCTTGGTTACAAGGGGCAAGAGCGATTGATAAGATTTAATTCTTGGCAGCCCACACTCCCCCACATGCCTATACTCGGGGTTGGAAGCTCATGATCAGACAAACACATGGCATAAAGACAATGGAAAAAGTTCGATCTACTACAATGCTGGGTATACATACATAAAGGGTCTTATAAAATGCTAGAAGCACTAAACAATCATTCTAATGAGATCAAACCACCCTGACACTATTCAAGTTGGCAAATCCTCTGATAATTGAGCCACCTCAAACTCCATCCAGACACATAGCCTACTGGACAAGCGCCTTTTGCAATGAAAAATGTAAGAAAGTATCACAGAACGCTGTAAGAAGTGCCACGTTTCAAAAAAGTGGCAATACGGCTACGCTCCTCCCATCCCGCCCATCCCCACTTGCCCCCAATGCTCCAGTGTTTTCAACATACTATCAACAACGCGTTCTCTGGACAGTCCACGCGAATTTTTGAAATCTCTAGCGGTCTCGCGCTCTGAATTGGATACCAACGCATTTCTAGGAAGATTTCTATACTTCTCTGCTAGTTGATCTGTGTCTTTTTACCAAAACAAATGGCCATGAGTGGTTGGTATCACCCATATAGGTGACCTTTCAAATTGACCTACTTTTATTCAAGACAAAATACTCTACAGTTCCCCATGCAAACCCTTGTGTTTTCATCCGACCATGACGATATTTCAGTAACATCTCGGAGAGTTTTGGAATCAATTCAGTGTATTCATCCAGTCGGATACTGAAGACTCTATACATCGCCCGGTCTCTCTTGAATACTAAGTTTAGTACTCTAAATAATCTTCCTAATTGTGGAGTCGATATTTGTTCATGTTTTAAGATTTCCAAGACCTGTGTGATATGATGAATATTGACGGTGTTTGTGTTGAGTAATTCTCTCAAAAAACTACTGAGTCGCGGAGGTAGTGTGCCTGCAATTTGGAAACTTATATCACTCTGCAGTACTTTTGCCAGGATAGTTGGTGATTTGGTTAATCTTCTGAATTCTACACTGCTATCATAATGATGTTCCTCGAGGTGTAATAAAATTCTAATCGTGTTTGCCTCTTCATCGAAGTGATTCCTCTTTTTTCTGTTTAGATGTTCCAGATGATTTTTGATCAATATCATTAATGATGAAGCTTTCTCAGAATCTATCGGAGTTTCCAAGTTTATAAACGCAAGATAGAGTGTCTGAAAGTCTTTTGATGGAGGATCGGGGGCCGTGCCTATCTGGTCTTTGATATGATGCACTATGGACTCCCTTTGGATCACCTCCTGAATTACTGGGATTGATGGAAGATAATTAGAAACGACAAAGACACCAAAGAACCGTCACTCACTATGTTCGAATGGCTCTGATTTGAAAGGGGATTCCGCCCACATCTCCTCAGCAATTTTGCCCAAGTCTTCGTCTGATCAAAGTCATCCACATTCAAATTAACCATGGCCTCAGTCATTCAGAGATTCTCAGTCACCGACCTTGTAGAAAAAACAGCAGAAAATCTCCTCGAGGCCTAATCAAGTCGTTGGCTGTCCAGACCAGAGGAATTGCAGAATGCCTATCCTTCGGAATACGAGATCTTAGGTATGAAAGGACCCCAACAGACCAAATCCTCTCCGCTGTACTTAAAGCATCGCTCTCAAGAGAATTATAGTGGAGCTTGAGTGTAGATTTCACGTGTTCCAAGTCGACCTGAGGGTTATATTGATGCAGATGGAATCGAGGTCCTAGTTCCAGGACAGCGTTGGCCATGTCTTTTACTGTAGGAGAATCGGATGATCCGATGGCCTTTGCGGATATACCATAGCAGACTTCCCAGCTGGTTAAAGCCTTATTTCCAGGTGTTTTGGATTGAGGGTTGAAAAATTCTTTTAGTGCTGATTTTGTGGTATCAAGGATAGACCACAATCTTCCTTGATTTGCCCTCTGTTTTCCCTCTTGAAAATCTGTAAAAGAGGTTCCTAAAAGAAGAGCTTCAGGATTGTCATTATCCAGTTCAGCAAGTTTCTTGTAAGATAAATTCAAGAGAGGTTCATTATAAGGGAGAGATTCAAGTAAAGGAAGGAGCATTAAAATCAGGCAGAAGGAAAGATAATAATTGCGTGTCATTCTCCTTGTTCTGGTGCGAACAGGTGGTATGGTTAAGAAAGCCGGTTGAAGGAACATCTCGATCAATCAGTATGGCGCTTACGGGATCTCGTATCTTATTGTCTGATCTAAGGAGTCATGATAACGCTAAACCTTTCTCAAACTTCAACACAATCTGTGTTAAGACCAACTGATAATGATTGTTTGAAACATAGTTACACCATGGGGGGGCTCTGGGTCGTAAAATGGTCCAGAGCGGCCTCAGAAACGCCGGGGGGTATCTACAGCCCATGGGTAGCCCTCAGGACGTCGGGAGTGTCCGAGATTGTATGCTTCAATCCGCACCCCCGTTTGGGCTGTCCCCTAGATGTCAGTGCGCGGCGCGCGCGGACGTCAGCGGCACACACTGAGGATGCCTGGGCCATTTCCAAAATAGTAAATTGCATCAATTGGTGAGTCCTTTGCTTCAAGTTCTTTGGCCAACTACCCGCTGAACAACTTTTTGTTCCACTCTCCCTGTTTGCCCGTTGTGCTTGGAGTCTTGTTTCTCATGACTTTCTTGATTGCTACCTACCTCACTGTCATCAATGTGAGATGGCAAAGACAGAGCCAAAATTGGCTGTCATTGAATATCACCCCCTCATTTTTTGCCTTTCACTTCCCTTTGTATCTTCAGACCTTGGATTGATGGATGTTGATTTTATATAAAGCCCAAATAAAAGCCATGAATGTAATGCATGAAAACATAATACAATCACAAATTTCAAAAGAGATTCATCAGATATTGATAATTGTATTTCATTCTTGCTCTCATTTATAAATCTTAATACATGAGCCCAATCAAAGGTTATTGTTTACAGTGGAATAATGACGTTTTCTAACTTTGACAATTGATTGTTTTGGAATTCATGACATTGAAAATGCAACTAATATTTGTCAATTGAAAGCATTACAGCTACAATTCATTGAATTTTTATGACTGCTGAGTTGAACCTCCAATATTTCATTCTTTAGAGTGATTTTCATTTCATTAATCTGAACCAGTCAAGTGTATCTCCAGTATTATGTTGAGGGCAACAATGTATAGAGCAAATTTTTTATCACATGATCACCTCAATTGCCTAGTGGATTGTATTTTAGGCCTGGTACTACAACCCCAATACTAGGTATGGGAATGTGGATTGAGCAGGGCCACTCTGATACAAACCCAGTATTGCAGGTGTGTTTGCCTAAAGCATCCATCCAAGGAAATGGCTCCCAGCTGCACAATCTTGTCACCTGCATCCAATATATGATGGATGCCTGTGGGTACCATGTCCACAGTTCTTCTTAAATATTATTTTGTGGATAGTTTCACATAGGGAAGTAGAGCTGTTGTGGGCAAATTATCAGCCTTGAAGATCCCCTTGCAGCTAAAGAGTAATAGAGAAGGAATCATACAGGAAATTACTGTGTATATAACTGATTGACAAGCAAGATCTTTATAAGGAGAAGAGCAGATGGAGGAAGAGGGGAGGTTTTTCATTCCCAAATTCTGTCTCTCTCTAAGTTTCAGGTGTGTCACATCCCACCACTAGGACCTTTCACATTCTTGGCCTTTCACTTCCTTTTGCTTCCCCTAGCATCTCCCTGCCAGAAATAATGGACTACAGTGCACCCTGTGTAAGCTCTGGGACCACTAAAAAAGCTATCATTTTTTTACTCTTCCTTAGCTTTCATTAATCAAATCACAACCTGATTGATTCAATAGTATCTACATATGGGCAAATTTTATAGTACCAGTAAGTCTGGAACATCACCCTCTGGCGCCTGCCACCAGATGCTTTCATTGTACTATTGCTTCTAAATCCAATTGATAGATACTAATTTCCCAGTGCTTGCGGCCATTTGAGAACACACATGATATTCTGTTTGGCAGGTTGAATCTACCTCAGCAATCATATCCAGTTGAGGCTAGGTCATCATAGCAATGCTGCCACTGTTACTTTACTGGGTTGCATTGGAAATACCCGGTAAAATATCAAAAACACAATACAGTCAAACCTCTGAAATCTGGTGGGTTTGGTGGACGCCTTTTGGACCAGATAGCAGAGGTTATCGGATTTTGGAGTCAAACTCCCTGCTGAAAACCCAACTTGGTGGACCAAAATTTGACCACATATCAGAGGTTAACCAATTTTCGAGGACCGGGTTGCAGAGGTTTGACTGTACCGTAAAAATTGATAGGCAGTAAAGTATTGGTTCACCAATACAATACTTCATATGGTATCAAAAACCACAAAAGGACTTACCTTGAGTAAAATATCTTGAAGTGATACTGTTACTATACTCAATACTGTATTGGTCTTTGTGCCACACTACCAATACCATACTGAGTATCTAAGCCTAAATGGGACAAATATTTGACCATTACTTCTCCATCAACTGCTGGATAAAGTATTGGTTTTCAGATACTTTACTTGATACTAGATCAAAATTGACAATACCATTCCAAGGACCTGGGAGTAAAGTATTGCTACTTGCATTGATAAAATTGATTATTGGAATGCTGATTAAATGGGACTTGATGGATTCTAAAAACAAAGTGACTGAGTGTTCAGCAATGGTACAAACTGGTTAGGTGTTAGGATTAGGATTAGGATTAAGGTTGTGGTTAGGATTAGGGCAGGATATATCTCATCACAGTCCTTGTATGTAGGTATAGAAATTATGCTTCGGATAAATAGCTCATGTGATGGCTTGAAATGGCATCATGATCTAACAACATGTCTCGCACAAAATGGTCATTCTGGCCATTTAACATTGCACTCCACATAGATCCTCCAGAATGATGTTTCTACTCAGAATTAACCAAATTTGGGTTTCCTCCCAAGACCAGCAAGTAATTCACTATCCATTCAAGACACCATATGTACTTTTGATCCACAGTTCTACCAAATAATCTCAGAATATATACATCCGCAAAATCAGGGGCTTCAGTATCAAGTGTGAAATGAGTCACTGTAGGATCATATGTAGAAAGTATTGTACAGTAGTCCAATGTAATGACCCAAGAGCAAAGAAAAAGAAAGTATTGAAAGTGCCGTGCTTGATGCCCAACTAAGCTAGTGCGTGTCTAAAGGGAGATTGGTAATGTAGATGGTATATACATCATACTCACCTCCAATCAAATGGAATAGAATTCAATCTGTCTTGTCAAGCCTTGGGACACGACTCCTCCCAACATTTTACAATCAATGAAAATTTTGCCATCCTTTTTCAATTCAACAATAAATGAAAAGTTATAAACATTGTACTATCCAACAAGATTCAAGATCAGATCAGTTGAAAGATAAAAACTGTGTATCCACAATGACGAAGTATGGTAATATCTGATAGATCTTTGAGGCTATCATAGCTTCACTGCTCAGCCCAAGTTTCTACGGGTTGTTGTAGTAACGCGCATGAGAATCTGAGAAACCGATGTTTTCTTGGTCAACCATCAATCAAGGAGCCCTTATTAACTGAGCTAAAAGGACTTAGCGTCACCTTTTCAAGCCGTTTAAGAGCGATTTCAAACTCGTCTAGCGTCCCTTGCTTATTCCAAGAGGGAGCTTGAGAAAATTTGGAAACTGCTTTCAATAGTCTTTCGAATACTCCACTTTCTTTATTGATTAGATGGCGATAAAGCTTTGCATCATCATTCTTTAGTGAAATGAGGTACAAAATGTATTCCATCAGATCTGAGTCTCGCTCAAAATCAGGGTTAGTCAAGATCTTGTTGAAGATAGTATATAAAGTTCGAGTCACAGATTTTTTTCTTGATCCGCAAAAGTCCCATTTCATTTCTTCTAACCGTCTCCCAGTTTCAACTTCTGAAAGTATCCCTTGGTGAATCAAAATTTTAGCGAGTCTGTTTCTGAGATCCGATGCCATTTGATCTTCCTCTGAATTTGGTTTCAAGAGACATATACATAAATTAATCAGCATCAAAACAGCGAAGGCATTGTTCAGAGAAGCTCACGTTTCCTGAAAATCAAGTACCGGAGATCATCTGAGCCAGGCCAATGCGGGTTCACGTTTCCATGACCATATCTGAGTGTCATCTCTGAGAGAGCTGAGATCATTTCTGGATGCTGGTTGAGAGCAAGATCCAGCATATCATAAACCCCTGGATTTCTCCTAAATACCAAGTTGACCACTCTGAAAAATCTTGCAAGTTGAGACGACGATACCGGTTGATGGTGTAAGACGCCCAAGACCTTGAAAAGTTGTTGTCTGTCCATTCCGACTGTATTCGTAAAATCCCTCAAGATGGTCTTGAATTCAGGAAGTAATCTCTCGTCCTCAAGCTGGAGAACTATGTCAGTATGGAAAATCGTATCCCAAAGTTTTTCGTTTGTCATCAAGAGTTCTTTCATTGATCTCTCAAACTTGACACTGCTTGCGTGGTTGTACTCCTCTAAATGCATTAACAAGCGGACCAAATTTTTGGTCTCATCAAGCGCACTCAAGATCTCTTTCTGCTTGACGCGTTCATCAAGTTGGCGCCAAATCCTTTCAAGTAATATCGAAGCCTTGTCGGAACTGATTGGAGTCTCTAAATTCATAAAATCAAGAAGAAGAGTCTGTAGTTGGGTTGATGGCTGATGAGACACCGCTTTTTCTTGATTTTTTATGAGGTGTATGGATGACTCCCTTTGTATCGCTTCCTGAATAACTATGTTGGCAAGATCGTGGTTAGTAAAAGGCACCCATCAATCAGTCGCTTCACTTACCGCGGTCTCCAGGCTCAACTTGTGAAGGAAATCCTGACCACATCTCTTGAACCAATTCCTCTACATCCTTGCCTTTGATTTGGGATATGGATATGGGCAAGAAACATGATACTTGATATCAGCGACGGAAATGCCTGTATACAAAAATTCAAAAATATAACCTTTCAGAAAAAATGATAGATATTCTTCGCGCGGTCTGTTCATGCCTTTTTCTTCCCAGATTGTGGGGATTGGTTCAATTTTATCTGCTTTAATTTGACGTTTAAGGTGTAAAAAAATCCCAAAAGCCCAAATCCTCTCTGCTGCCATAAGCGAATCATTTTGAAGGACATGACGAGTAAGATTGATTATCAACCTGATTTTTTCTTCAGAGAGTTCAGGATGATTGCGATAATGAGAAAATTCGGGTCCCAATGCCAGGACGGTTCTGGCCAACTTCTTAGCTTCAGGCACCGAGAATGACTGAAGAGCTTCTGACGCAATATGGTAGTATCTTGGCCAGGCCATTGAGGTTTCAGGCTGAGGGCTCATTTTTTGAATCAGGGACTCCCAAAATGTATGTAGTCTCTTAATCACGGAGCTTCCGTATGTTGAAAGCACGCCAATTTCTCCCTCCTCGTACGTATCGAGACTGTACTTCTCAAGAGAGCTCTCATAGACTCCATTTTCCAGTATGGCGCCTTTCTGATTAGTCCATTGGAGGGCTAACTCTAGAGGCGGAGACGAAACTGAGGGGAATATTAAAAAAAGTAGGTAGCGTGATAGATAATAGCTCCATATCATTGTGATTTGTCTGCTGGTCCTCAGGAGATTACATCGAGCACTATTTCAATTTGCGAATCAAACTCTGCTCTACTACCACGTACACACCGATCAGAAACACAAGTCGTTTCTTGCGTAAAGCGCGAGTAAGTCGATCCCCGCCATTCGCGCGAGTTTTACGTGCAAAATCGCGCAAGGTTTGTAGAAGCGGCAAATACTTGCGATGACACTGTCCGGCGTAGATGGTACATGCAATGCGGGAACTCGACGTGCGTTTCTCTACGAAAACTTACCTTATAGACTCCATATATCCCTTTGCTGCATGCTCCGAAGCGTCTTGACAAGCAAAGGACTGCTCAGTGCTGTGTGATCGTGATTTGCGTGGCGTGAAACCAGTACGTAGACGGTAGGACTTAAGTATAAGTACAAGCCTTCATCACTAATCAGGGTTTTCAGTATTGGACTTGGATTTGAGAGTCGAAAGTTGAAACTGTTGCTTGCCTTGCCGCAAGATTGTCCGCTGCTGCGTGTGAAGATGATAAGCCGTCATCATGAAGCAAATTGCACATACATATCTTAGCATTGGTTGTGTGCAGACTAAAGTCACAGGTCAGTTAGGTTTTTCCTCAAAACATCAATATGATCATATATTTGAGGTCTTGCTTCTTGCCGCCTACTGGCCACCATTTTGGGCTTTGCAAATCCATTGCCCATCTGTATCTTGACAGCCTGGGCAAAGGATTGGTGAAAAAAATCTTGCGCCCAGAATAAAAACTGAAAATTATACAGATGGGTGAAAGAGATACTCCATGCAATGGGAAAAATTCTTCTGCACAGTATAAAACCTTGAAAATACCAATCCCAAAAGGTTCTATTCAGACACAGAAGCATTACAAAGAGCTCAAGTTTAACATAACATCCAAATTATTGAGGAATGAAAAAAAAACATGAGAAAACCTCAATTATCATTGGCGATATCATACATCTCTACTATTTGGGGAATTACTAGAATTACCAGCTCTTTCTATAATCCTTTTCATGATTGGTGTGATGCTCTATGACAGCAGGGCATATTTTACAAACATGGTCAATCAAATACCCCAGCTCCAAGCTCCCATCATTTTGAAGATACTGTGAGTCTACAAGATTGTAGTACATCAGCCAGTTGTTATCTGTGATACTCTCACTGCTCATGAATCTGTCTCAAAGTGTCTGCAAAAAAGATTGTGAGCTCTTCGATGTTTTAGAAGTGCAAAAAGATCCATGTACTTTGTTTTGAGCACACTTCCCTCACATTCCTTCATGAACATCATGGGTAAATGATGACCCTAAGAGGCATGATTGTTTGACAAGGTCTCTGAGATAGATCCCAAAGATGGCTTTGCATCAACTTGCCTGTCAGCCATGAGGAGAATTTTACATTACTACCATTGTCAGGAAATTTAGTTGGAAAGGACCCACTGGGAAAACAGCAACCAAGCTCAAAGGAGCCAAGACCCCATTGCCAAGAAGTAATATTAATCTGACACAAGGCACAATGTTACTGGTTTCAGCTTACCAGATATGAACCCTTATGACCGCACACAAAAAGACCCTGATGTGCTAGGTCAGAAAGAGACATGTGTATCAATATGTAAGCAATGTTGATTTCCTTCCAGGAAAGAGGAATGATCTCAATATTTTACCATACCACTTTTACCACAATTCATCCTTGAATTAGTATTTTATATCATAATACTTTTTTCTTCATCTTTCTTATGAAGGATGACTTATTTATAATTCTTGTCATTTAGAACACTTTGTCACATCTTCTTTCTCATCAAGGACACCCTTTTTTCTTTAACTGGCTATTGCTCTATCACTTGATGGTTTTCTTATTATTTAAGTGATGTTGTAAATAGTCTCCTGTTTCCTTTTTGTAACCTATAGCCAGCTTATGATCCTCATATTTGCCTTAGAAGACCGTCAAGTGTACAGCACCTTGATTAGTATCAGGCAGTGTGACCCATTCTGCACCTAAGACAATTATAAGCACCACTTATAATTTTTTAGTTACTTTACAAAGCATTGAAAAATAAGTTTATAAGCTTTAGTTATAGCAACAAGCTTTTTAAACATACATTTTGTAAGGATTATTCAACCTTTGATATCTACTTTGTGCACATTTAAAGAGCCAGGCTGGCATTGCCCATGAGGCTCAGAAAGATGTGAAAATGGGGTGAGAGGCCAGAGGCAAAATATCAAAGGAATACTAGTTATTCTCATAATTGGTCTGGCACTGCCAAAACTATCTTTGCATGTGCAGAAAGTTAATCTCAGTGGAATACTTGACACCATTTGCTTTGTCTGAAAGTGGTCTTACCCAGGGCCAAACAATTCACCCTTTGCTTCTTTGTTTGGGCTACATGTATAACATGTTAACTTACCAAAGACAAAAATTACGGAATAATAATTTCCTGCTATATCTGTCAGTCAGTACATCCATCATAACTGCATGCTTGGTGCCGTTCAAAGTGTTCCACATGTGGCCTTTATTTTGGGTGGGAGATACCTCAATGGTTGGCAACATTGTTCAATGATATTCTTTTACCTTATTGTTTCAGTTTTCTGTGCCTTTTTATGTATTGCTTAAATGTGGTTCAGTAGATTAGCAAAGCAGTAAAGTTTCACACAAGGCCCACCAGAGACAGAGTCTCAATGCATGTACTCAAAATTAACTTTTAATGTATGATTATTATGGAGAAACCTAATTACATATACATACAGTCTATAAACAGTATGTAACATGTAACGAAACACAGAAAAATAACTTTTGAGTGTACATGTGTATGTAATTAACACAAAACCTGTACCCTTCTTGATATCAAATCAAATGATTTGTATTGCATTATTTCAGCATAATTTGGAATTACATCTTGCTGACATAATCATTGAGTGATGCTTTTCAAATTTGAGGATGGAAAAGGCCAGGTGTCAAAGAATCAAAGGAAACTTGGATGATTGATGATTCAAAAAGTGGTGATGTGTATGCCAATCTGTATCAGAGCCAGTGAGCCCTTTAGCCTTCATCCAGCTTTCTTGATCTCAAAGTATGATTATGGCAGCATGTACCAATGATAATTATACCACAATGGATAAGAAAACTTCTGGCCTCATGAAAAGGTCAACAGGTTGGACACAGACCATTGTCATTGATATATCCAGTCCATCCCAAGCTTTAATCAACCTTGCCTTCTTTCATGATAGTAACTCAGGAAGAAACTACAGTTATTGATGCATGGAATGTACAAGTATAGCATTTCAGCAAATTGAGGGGGGTACTATTGGTAATTTCTATATGACAGTTTATCTCATAAATTCTCATTTCTCTGTTTCATTTTTTGTAAAGTAAGTCAACATCTCACTCTTTGATTGAGCGCTTTGACAAAGTAAATAGGGAAAAATGAGTCGTTTGCATATAGGATCACCTCTCACGGTAAGATATGATGTGTGCCATAGTATAAATAACACAAAGCTAACCAAGCTAGTTTTGGCTTTTCAAAAGGCCATTTTGTAATATATCTGAGCTAAAGATCATCCAGTAATAAATGCAGTGGCACATATTATTCCCTTAATTGTGGAAATGAGGAAAAACAACAAGTCAAAAAGACCGTGCTTAAATTTCTAGAACGGGTTAGTCAGTCCAGACATAAGATAGCCCTCCTTTTTAAAAATTGACGAAATAGGCTGGATGCCTTATGCAACCATCTTTGTGAATGAAGGGCTACGGTCGCTTTGGGTTTGGCATGTTGATTCAGGTGAACTCAATAGAGTTCTAGGTATGAAATTAGAAAAAGTCAAGATCAGGCCGTTATCTAAGGATCTTGAAAAGGAAAGAAAGAACATTTCTCACGTTGTCAAATGCTTTGAAAACATTCTCAGCTTATCATCCAGGGACATCGGATCACTTCCAGCGACCGAAAGAACTTCTGGACTTATGTCCTGGACAAATGGTGTACCCCTGATGGAGAGATTCCTATTCAGCCGCATATCATCTTTTTCAAGTAAGATCAAGTGTAAAATATATTCTATGGCATCTAATTTGATTTTATGAAGATTCGGATCTGTAATGTTAGACCGATATGACAATAGCTTGATCAAGAGTTGTTTTATGATGGGAGTCAATCCAGCTGTCCTTGGTCCTTTGGGATTTGCACTGAATTCTTTTAAAACTTCAAAAATGACATCCAACTCTAAAAACTTCATAGTAAGTAGGTTTTCTTCAAGTGTTGCTAAACGTTTTTCCATGAAAATTTTGTGTTCTACAGGAAGCCAACAATGACAAAATGCATAAACATGACCACGTTGTCCCATAATCTTTTTGGTGACACTAACCTTTTTGGAAAACTAAATACTGAAGATCATTTTTCTGAATCTTGTCTGGGTACATTCTGCCATGAGACAGTTCTAAAAACATACTTGAAAGATTGGTGATACTATGTGGGTGGTTTAGTTCTTTGTTCACCAGGCCGTACACCTCATCATCATGCTTGGCCATCAAGTTCAACACTCTAGTGAGTCTAGCCCGATGAAGCATAGAATGCCTTTTATCAGTCATAGCTTCAAGAGCCATATGAATACTTTTGGACTTGAGGATCTCATCGTTCATTAATGATTCCAAAACCTTCCTCAGGATGCGAGATAAATCGGGGTCTTGAAGTTGAAATTCAAGGTCTTTCCTGAGAATCCGGGTACAAATCTTTGGATCGTTGATTAATTCTTTAAATTCAATCATACTATTGAAGTGATGTTCTTCCATATGTAGAGTCATTCGAATGATAAATATTTCCTCAGGTGGCGTACTGAAAAAGCTTTTTGTCCTATCAAGCATTGTTTCCATTTTCTTCATTAATCGTTTCGCGCGACTATCATCAATTGGCGTCTTCAAGTTCATGAAAGAGACTAGACATTTCTCAAATCCTGGGTTTCGATGTCTATCGCCCAAGGTCATGGCTTTTTTGATAGAGTTCACTATTGACGCCCTATTCAATACTTCCTTAATGACTGTCTCGGGATCGAAAATCAGCACAGCTCCCATAATGAAGTCTAGCTACTAACCATGGTCTGATAATTTTTGAGGTGTACTCTCGATTGGTAAAATCTCTTGCACTGCTCCGGCCAAATCGTGGTCTGTAGAAAGGAGAACTTTAGAACTGGTGATATGAGAATGTCGAAATCTCTAAATGGGAGTGCTTTTACCTTTGAGTAAGAACAGTTCAAAATCCCCCATATGCCTACTTATAAGATCTTCGATTTTCCATTCCTTCACAAGAGAACTATCTTTTTCTGTTGAGATCCATTTTTTCAGGTAAGAAAGAACTCCAAGAGCCCAAAGCTTGTGCGTCTCTTTCAATACACTAGTCTCAAGAATCTGACGAATGATTCGAACAACATCCAGTGTCTCCTGGTCATGTTTGGTATGATGCTCTATGAAAACAGGACCTATTTGATGAACGTGGGCTATCAAAACTCTGAAATCCGAGTTCTCGTGATGATGAAAATCTTTTGATTTGACGAAATTGTAGTACGTCTTCCAGTCTTCATCTCTTACACTCTCAACGCTCGATTCATCCGAAAATGCCTGCCAAAAACTCGTGAGTTTTCCGATGTTTAAAATTCTGAACAAATCATGATGCTCTCAATTTCAGTTCCTTAGTACTAACCTCAGAGTCCTCGATGCTCGCCATCTGTAATAGATTTCTCGAAGGGGCATGATCGCGAGATAGATATTTTCCAAAATAATTAAACATTGGTGACATCGGCTTCGCGTCAACTTGTCCGATAGGTCCAGGAAAATGCCAAGGTAAGATGAGCGACAAGAAGCAGAAGATCAAAGAAAAATTAGATAGTCTCATGATTGCTCTAGCACTTCCAATTCAGACTCGATATTCGTCCGCGTGTGTGGCAATTTTATACCGGGGGACAGTTGGCACCTTTGTCTGTATCTGAAATCGAATAAATCGCCCCTTTCTTATTTACCGATCTTCCTTCTATCACATGTTATACGAAAAATGCTCAGCGATACATTTACATAAGTGATGTACACCAGCTAGATGAGTCAGGTACCGCATTTTCTGGCAACGCACGTCTGGTGGTGCACCGAGCGTTCCAAATTTAAACTTATTGTACGATGAGCCGGAGATAAACCAGTTTTCTGCAACAACCTTGATGCAAGATGGCTATTCACCGTGATGTTTCGGCTGTTCTATCTCTCAAAACTCTATTAATAACTAAACACACGACACCAGGAAAGCAAAGCAGCAAAGTTCAAGGCCTACCAAACTTTGACGGATCTGGTTTGCAAAAGTGATGAAGTGTCGGCTTTTTGGTCCCACATACAGATATCCATCATGGGTCGCGACTCTGTTGTACCTCTCAGGCGGCGAAAACTCATAACAAGTATGAGCAATTAGCTCCAGCAAACTATGACGCTGACGCGCATACATCATTGGACATTTGACATCTTTAAAGGGGAAAAAGGCGAAGGGAACTGCGCCTTTTTCTGACCTATTAATATTTTGCTACAAGTTTTCAGAAATCATTTATATATATTCAAGATGAATCATATGTGAATGACACATCACGGAAATCATGTATTCTTCATGGTGACGAGATAACGACACAGATGATCTGTATCACAACCCCTTTGGAGATTAAGAATAGTTGATTTGATCATCGAACGGTGTTGTGACCCGATGAATCCACCGTTCCAATGCCATCAACTGGATCTTTCAACTTGAAAGATGTCATTTTGAAGATCAGATAAGGTCTTTTCAAGTTCGACAATCCAAAACTGCGGGGAAAACCCCAGCTGATCAGAAAAGTGCTGCAGCGCATGTGATATCGGAGCCAGCAACCTCTAGTGAATCCATCGAACTTTCTTGATGTTGAAGTTTGATTCCAGCACATGATATATTAGAACATGCCTGAGCTGATGGTCAGTTCGAGAATTTAGACACAGAGCATCGTCAATGACATCGATCGATTGAGATATAAACGTCCTTGCCGATCTTTAATCGACCTCTCCTTGTTTTCTGAGACCATAGATTCAGAGAGTGACAAGGATTCATAATGCCTTGAGGTACGAATCTGGTTGATCAGCCGATGTAAGTAGCCTTTTGTAAAGTTGATAAGAATTGAAGATGAGATGATTTAAATGGTTTGACCATATTGAGTTGAACCAATTGTCTTTTTGGTTTGCAAGCTTGAATTTTGATCGTACATGTCCTTACATGCTTACATGTCACATTCAGGAGATCATGTGATCAATTGATGTCACTGATGATTTCACAGCGGGTATCGAACACGAATTTCTAAAAAACCCCGCTGTGATCTCAACAAAGTCGAACAGAGTCATGCACGAACGAACAGAGAGGTACCTGCCATGAGACGAATATGGCACTTCAGAACGCTACCGCTGAAAAGCAATAGAAACTTATGACGAATGGTCACTTGCCATTCAGCTGATCCTTTTGATCAAACAAAGAATTTGGGCTTCTTCAGCCAGGTGTACTAGTAGGAATCAAAGGGTCAGAAAAAAGAAGTAAGATTGACAAAACGGCGGTTCAGGTAGTTGGGCAAGTCTCATCTGCCTGGAGACTGGAGTGCACTACAGGCTCAAAGGGGGGAGCGAAAGATCATTGGTTCAATCTTTGGGGTCTAAGTTCTGAATGACACTTTGTACCTCGTCGGCAAGTAGTATTTCTGTTTGCACCTGATGATCATTCATAAAGTTTGCAAATCAAAAACCGTTTCATAGAACCAATACTATTCTCCAAAAAAGTGCAAAGCATATTATACTTGATTTTTTTTGTAAGGAAATCCTAAAAGATATACGTAAATAAGAGAGAAACTGAAAGATACGAAACAAAACTACATAAATACTAGATAAGAATGAGAAAAAAAGTAAAATGGATTGTAATTAATCTTCTTCTGCATCATCAAATTGTCCAGATGCTATGGAGCATGGTTCATGAGTTGGAGATGGAGGTGAAAAGCTATCCGAACAAAGGAAAGAAAGAAGTGATGTTGATGGATCGGGTTGTGGAGAAAGGCAGATTGATAATTCGGGTGGTGGTGACGTTTTAATTTGTGAAAGTGGATCCGGTGATAATGTTGGAGAAGAAAAAAGAGGAGATATGAATAGGCTTGGTGAGGTCGAGGGAGGTGGCGAAGTAGATTGAGGACTCTTTGATCGTTGAGGTGATGAAACAGAGGGGTCGGTGCAGGGAGAAGAAGACCGAGATGAGGATGTTGAGACGGAAGACCAAGTGGAGGAGCCAGATGTAGATGAGCAAGAAGGTGTAGCCTCGGAAGAAGAAGCGGGGGAGGATGAACGCAAACTAGGATCGATGTCTTCTGAGTGCGCACGACTGAAGATGTTGGGCCAGCGTAAAGTTGGGTGACATTTCTTGGTCGGCGAAGGTGGAGAAGAGGTTCGGAGTGCGGCCAAAGTACTGAAGAGGACATCTTTGACCCATGGGCTGACGGATCCGTTGTTGGTTTGTTCGGAGACAGAGGGCGTCAGGCAAGCGCTGATAGTAGAGTTATCCTTAGATTCCTTCACCCGAAACCATTTCAGGACTTTCTCCACCAATTTGTAGGCATCATCGGAGCTAACAAAGGATCCGGCCTTACTGCAGTGTAGTCGTTGTGTGGCCTCATACTCGCTGAAGTAAGATTCAAGTTTTTGGCGGTCTTTATTGGCGTATAGTTTATTGGTGAATAGTTTTGACCAACCGGAACGAGTTCGAGCGTTTCGGAACCAAAGATCGACCTGCTTTGCGCTGAGCTTCGTTTGACCAGAGAGTTCCATAAGTTCTTCTTTGGTCGGAAACAGATATGATAGATGTCTGAAGACGTAACAAACATGAGTGACATGAGTTATCCGAACCATGTAGTAGCAAAGAAGAAAGTAACTAACTGACTACTCCAACATCTCAACAGGTCTTGCGGGTCTTTTCTAAGATTCGAGCAGGGAGGCGGTGAGGCGAAAGTCTCTGGCGCATCCATTGAAAGTCTTTGTGACGCAGCCGCTGAACCGATCGCACGTTGATGTGTGGTGGCAGGCGATAGGTCCAACTTTTGGACGAAGTCTTCCATCAGGTTCTCAATGCTAGCATGGACTCGGGTCATCGCAGATGCTAAAACTTGAATGTTGACAGCAGCTTGTGCGTATTCCTGCGCTACGCCGACTGATGGCGTCGGGACCCTGCATGCCCGCTCAAGAGACAGCGAGTGTGCGTCCAGTTCCGTGGCGAGTTCGCCGAGAGGAACTGGCTGGTCTCCGCCAAACGCAGCCAGGAATGAGCACTCGCTGGACTTGAAGTCTTGGTATGTGGACAGAAGTGACATGGTACCAGGTCGAGTGAGCCTTTTGAAAACAGGATGTAGTTGAAGGGGCAGTTGATTGAAACTTGAGAGAGGGATGGAGAATTCTGTCACGGTAAAGGGTCTGTGGAGCTCACATAAATCAGTGAGGAAAGAAGTCTACGGTGGCTGGCTCATGTGATCCGAAAAGGTTTGATTTCCTACTGCTCCTTTCCTTTCTAATGTATCTTGAACGTCATGTCGTCTTCGTTGAAAGGAGAGAAAGGAAAGGAACCCGGTCTGGCATCTTTCGATTGTAACACACTGGCTATATGCATAAAGCTTTGCATATGCATGTACTACAACACGCATTTGAAAGGAATGAAATTTGTCCTTTCCCCGAAACTGAATATGTCCAAAGTGTGTTTTTTCAATGAGTTCCTTTTCCCGAATTCTCTTAATAATCTGTCGCCTGAGCGGTCGCCCAGCGTCATGCCTCCACGTTTTTTCGATCTACATCTCGTGACAATATCCTCCATCAAAACACCTGACTCTAAACCTCGCTCGTCGTCACCCTACCGTCATGATGTTCGCCAATATGTGGCAATCGATCTCCAACTGGGCTAGCGATATCATCGAGTCATTGCCGACCGCTGACTCGGAAGAGCCAATCATCTCTCAAACCCTCGACTATCCTCTCGATCCTTTGGCCCTTCCTGACCCACCCGATGTTCGGAGGTTGCTTACCCTAGCAGCAGTACCTATTGAAATTGCGACCCATTATGAGAAGTCCTTCAATGAATTAATCTATGAGTTGAGCGAATATGTGAAAGCAAAATACGAGGACGCGGTGATGAAGATTCACAAGCGAGCTTCTTTCGACATATCCGTGCAGCCCTGCTATTTCCGGGCCTTGCGCAATGGTCTCATCGTCTACTACAACGATAGCGTGCAGCAAGCATTGCTTAGCCTTAAGTCGCGGCTGGCTACCCTCGAATCACATCCGAAGATATCATCCTCCTTGCCCTCTGTATCGTCACCCAATTCAAGCGGCTCAGAATCTCATCAAAACCGCCGTGGTCGACCATTTGTCTTCTCGAAAGACCAAACAGCTGTTTTGAGGGCTCTACTGGTTCACGATGACCAATTCTCCAATGAAGAAAAAGAACTAATTGCTCAAACTTTGAATCTCACCCGAGCACAAGTGAATCGATGGGTGGGTTTCAATTCCCTAGCATATCTTGATACAAGTGTTTTGATCTGATACGTCGCATTCTACAGTTTTGTAACGCACGCGCTCGCGGTGGACGAAAGAAACCTTACGAGAAACCGATTCCTCGAGCTCAACGGCAGAACTTGGGCAAATATGTATCAGATGTGTGCCAAAACCAACGACGTAACAGCTCTCTATCATCCAGTGAAAGTTCTAGGTGTTCACGTTATTCCTCATCTGATGACGATGTTGAGATGTGGCCATGTACTGCTTTGGTAAGTTGATTGGCCAACCATCAATACTCGAAACATTCGGTTTCCTGATCCTCTTGATACTATATTTCCCCCACACTTTAGCAGCAAAACTCCGATACAGATGATTCACCATATCTAACTACTGAAGCCGATCCTTCCGAAAACATCATTCCCATGGCTCAGCTTTACTCTCAAATGTTATCAGCGTGCGACGATACAAGTCCAACAAATCAAACAACGGAGATGGATACTAACCTACCGTCCTCAAACTTTTCATTCTCAGAATCTACCTCATCCCTGAATGAATTCTTGCTGCCAAATGACCTCTCATCCCTCTTCACCGACCCAGATCCATTCAATCTCAATACATTACCAGATGATGGTTTCGCTCAATCTCTCTCATTACCATCAAGTCATTCAGAAGAATCTTGGAAATTTTCATAGTATTTAAGCTTATGTTCGATTTCATGTTTCGTCATGGTTTCGCATCTTTTTTCATCAATTGTATTGTCATATCTCTTAACTTTGGGTTATTTGTGCTTGCTTTGAGTATATTTTATAGTTTTTATATGTATAAAAGGAATTATTCAGTACTTTTATTTAAACAAAAAGTCGATATCAGGTTATTTGATGTTAATTGAATACAAACCTTCTGACCGCTTTCTCGGTGCCGATATGATCTGAGTGTGATAGTTTCCAGTTCTACGGATCAGTCACCGCCCATGAAAAGTTTATCAACTCGCATTGAATGAGAGGAAATGGCATTACAATTCTTCTCGAGATGTTATCATCAAGTTCAAAGATGTCAATGTGCATTTTGTAAGAATTTCTGAATGCTGAAGTGATTCCTTTTTTGACGCAAGTATTTGTCAAATCTGTAAGTCGTGCAAAATACTTTGTTATGGTAAACATGGCAAGTGTTGGCCAAGTGTGTTTTGAAATGGAAGTTATCATGGAAGGTGAAAGGATTCGTCCTGATTCGTCCCACTGACAGGAAGCGTCAAGATTTGAATCCTTCAAGTCTCACCTCTCCAAACGTGACCCAATCCCCCCCGAATGTCTAACACCGAGCACGAAGGACGAAAGGACATGCCAGGAAATGCCGCACGACATACACAAAAAATGACATGCGAAACGTCAAAGTTGATCTAATTATAACAATTGCCAATCATCAGTGATCACTTGAAATCTGAATTCCCTTGGTAAGATTTGATCATTTCATCACTATAAACAGGTTTGTCACATTTGACTTCCTTCAGCTTGACCATCTGATTTTTGTGTCTTCAGTGGCTCTTCTCCAATTTTTGCCTCTCACCATCCGGTTTCTCATCTTTTGTCGTTTCAGACATTCACCGAATTCAAGGATCTCAGTAAAAGGAAGCTTAGATTCGCTACCGGTTAGTTTCATTTTGACTCCATATCATAATCAGTTCAGTTCTCATATTGATCTTCTCTTGACTGATTGTCTATCGACCAAAAACTTAGCGATCTTTGAAATATGAAGTCGAATCATTTTTCTTTTGCAATCACCTTTTCGGTGTTAGAAATTATTCTCACTTACCCCCAACTTGCGCATGGCAAAAAAGTTTCACGTGGAAACACAGAAAGAGTGAGCTGTATTGCTGCTTGGGTGCCCGGCGACGATGCGAACCGTTAGTTGGATTTCTAAATCGAAACCTATGAGTTTGGAAGAATCCAATCCTGATACCTACCTTTCTTATCGCTTTCCAAGTATGTCAATCGGTTCCCGAGCACTATCAAGTCTGCGTCAAGGGAAATTGTGATAGTTAGTATCCTGAAGAAGACTCTTTCTCTCTTTGAGTATCAAATCAATTTCGCATTAGTTGTTCAAATCTTCGAATGCACTTTCTAGCCACGTGGGCCACCGCCATATGTAATGACGATAAAAGCCATCCAGGACAAGAGGTTCTTTGCGATGCTGGGCATCAATTCAATACCCAGACACATAAACTAGGTGAGTACTTGTTTTTTTATTTGAATAAAGTCTCACAATCCTTCAGATATCACTCAAATCTTCAATGTCAAACAAATTCCGGTTGATCTATATACACCAATTCGAACAATGCGAAAAAAGAATGTGACGTTGCTAAGAATGGTTCAAGGGACCATACAAGATATTGCGATCGCTTAAAAGATGGAACAGCTCCGCGTGAGTTGATGAACACTGCATTACCTGATTCTGAGCTCATTTAACCATGACCATTTTTGAACTGGAAATTTCTCTCTCTTAGAATGCGATAAGGAAGCCTGTCGAGTCTTGGAGGAGAATGGAATAGGGATTCAGAATCGTTGATACATTGGAATCTCTGAGACGAGTAAGCAGGATAAGTGATGATGACTATAGATACAAGTTTTTATACTCTTAATCTCCTCAATATCTTTCTCGTACTCTCACTTGCCTGAGAAGGGATTCAGTCTCAGAGTCTCACCATTTGTTGGATTACAATTTGTATCTCTTGTATCAGAGACACCCAAGTTCTGTTTTTTAACTCGTCACATAAATCTCATATTGCTCAAAGCTCCGTTTTATTTTTGATCTTCTAATTCCGAGTTTAAAGAACCAGTTTGTAGTACAATGTCAACTTCAAGCCTGGACTCGGAGTGTCTAAATGCAACTTCATCGACATTGTCATCACTATCCACTTGGTTCTTGACCACAATCTAAATCCCTTAAAGTGGTGTACCCACTTACAAATCATTTGTTTTGAAATATTTCAAATAGCTCAAAGTATTTTGAAAATATGTGCTAGGTATCAGACAATTATCTTTCAGCTTTCAATATCAATATCTATGTTGTAGGTGTATGAGATATCACACTTTAGTCTTTGAGCACTACCTATCAAACTCCAGTAAGAATATCAAACACATTGAGAGCTTCACGCCTTGTAATCATACAATAAGTATGGTGTCTGTTAATTCATGGATCATATTGAGCCCCGTTGCTGATTGAGCATAAACCATGCAATCTTCATTTGACTTCTTTATCAAGAATGGGTCTGGGCTTCTTGGGCTGATCAGCAGCTAGGTTTTTTACGCTTGACTGCCCAGAAGGCATTTAGTCTTATTGGCGTGCATAAGAGAAAGAAGAAGACGCAGTGAGACTATTAAAGAGAAACTGGTTCTAAAACCTGACATGGACTAAGTTAGGAGAAATATCACAAGAGTTCTGCGGTCGGAACTATTTGTAATAAGGCTGAACAAGTTTTGTAAGAAAGAGAATAAAGAAGAATGAAGAAATCACTGTGACAACAGGTCGCCACCGCATTAGCCTTTTTGTAGAAGAAAGCATGGGCGGGCGGGAGGTCAACAAAAATATTTTAATAGCGAGATATAATTTTTGTAGGAAAAAAGAGACTGGACCGAGATAGAGAGAAATTGAAGCGCGGAGTTTGGATTTTCGAAGTGAGAAAAAATCCTACGTGGGACAAAAACTTTGCTAGGAGGATGGGAATTATAAGGAAAATTCTTCAGCATCATTTTTGCATCTTAACGTCCATCCTCTGCCAGCACGTGAGATGAGGTGATCTCTGCTGGAAAGGAATGGACGTCAAGGTTTCCCTGCGCGCTTCTCGTACCCGGTCTGCCTCTTCGACCCATTCCCTTATGTCAATACTTGTACCGACACCAAACTTAGATCAATTGAACAGAATCTTCTTTAACAACTATGACAAAGAGTTATCAAAATTCTCAAATCCCATTGTGTAATATTTCTTGACCTTGAACTTGAGTTGGAGTAACCTGAACAGATCTGAAACTCAGTGCTAGACATTGCATCTATGCCACATGATAAAAATGGTCGGGGCATCTTCCAAGCTTCAGACCTGGTCAGAAATATGCCTAGGTTACTTGTCACCCGGAAGCAAAGAATTTTTGGCAACAATTTATTGAACATCTCTGACCTATGAGATTCTTGGTCTGTTGATATCTGATGTATAAGCACAGATTATTTCTTTCAATGGTTTTACAAAGTGCTTATTGAGCTTGAAGACAATCAAGCATCACATTACAAATTTATTCCTACTTAGCAACAAATGAACATCAAGATGTGATGAGTACTTCAAAATGCTTTTTTTCCCTGCATAGTTGAACTTCTGAGCCTTGCATCCAAGGTGGAGTTTGGACCTTGTCTTCAAATCATGGTATGGTATCCAAATCTTGTCATCTTTCAGATTCCCTGGTGGGAACATGATTGATAGAAGAATGGAGAATCAAATCATTTTGCACAGTACATCTGAGCCATAAAGCATATGCTACATATGTGCAAACATCTGAATAAATCCTTAGCTATCAGCTACATACAAGTCCACTCAGCTATCTGCTCATCTAGATAAGAAAACCACATGTGATACATGCTGTAGCTTTTTTCAGATTGAGACACACATTCCAAAACATTAGCTGTGTTCGAACCTAACCCAGTTGCACAAAAACCCATTACACCCAGTTGACTTTTTGGCTGGAAGCTGTCAAGAGCTGTCAATAGATACACAAAGATACCACCAAAATCACAACACTGGGTATACCGGGTTTTTGTGTCCACCGGGTTAGGTTTGAACACAGCTATTGACTACATATATCACAATGGCTACTCAGGATATATTCATGGAGCTTTTTAACAGTAGCAGAAGGGGAGGACCCATCTTGCCATCTGGGAACCTCTTTGATGCTGGCAGTAGATCTACTATGTCCACAAATCTAGTTATTTAACTTCCTCAACTTGAACCGGTCAGTCATAAAACCCACTACCCAAAATTGGATCAGTGCATCACTTCACATCCAAACCAAAAAAACACAATATCTGATTTTTGCATCTGGAAGTATAAGTTTGACCCTTTTCCAAAAACCAAAGAAATTCATTGAAGATCAAGCCTTGATTTTTCAACCCTTTGTTGCCTAATCATCTATTCACTTCTTTCATTTTCAGATTGTTATACTTGGCAGAGAAGTAAAGTAAAAAAAGCAAGCTTTGAAAGTACAAACTGTCATTCTACTTTTTGCTCAATTATGATTCACACCTTTACCTACAATGCTGAATTGACAATGATCATCAAATGATTTTTCTTCAGAAATAATTTTTCCATACTAAAACCATGAAATCAGTTCATTGTCCTTCCACAATTACATTTTTGGTATTCATACCTGTTGTAGCTTTGACTTGGGTTTTGAAATGGATCAAAAAACAAATCTAAACCTTTAGAAGTAGGTTTTTAATTCAAGATGGGATGAACTTCATGATAATGCAGGTTTGTTTTTTGTCAAAAAAGAACATTATCATTCCTTGCTGCAAACCTTTTTCAATCTAAAATAACTTCATCATTTCTTCTACATTACTATCTTTTGTTTGGAGTTTGGATTTTGGAGTTGTTCTATGAAATAAAAAATAATGTCTCCAAATTTCCAAGGGGAACACCAGGTAGAAGTCCTGCATGAGACCGTGTCAGGATGTCCCGCCCTATGCAAAACAAGAGGATATCCCAAATGTATCTGGATGTCTCCATGGTGCATCTCTACAAGAATTTGCCCCATGGTGTACACAAAAAATCCAACAAGATTGTCCAAAATTCATACACTCTTGAATTGTATGTAGTTCAACTTTCACAGATATTGGGTATGTGAAATCCATACATCCACACTATCACCCTCTCTGTAAAAAATAATGAATGCATATGGTACCTCTCAGACCCTCATGTTAAAAAAACTCAAAAACTCATTCCCTTGCATTGGTGGGAATTGACAGAGATCACAGGTGTCCTGCTGTGGTGCTACCTCCGGTGGGAAACATGGAAATATTCTTATTTTGCAGGATTCATAGGATCCTCTGCAGAGTAAGCTCTGGAGGATAAAGACATGTAAAAAAGCCATACCGTAAGGCTCAAAGCAGCGGTGACTAAAAGCGTGAAGGTCAAAAGATTTTGATCTGACAGGTTTTGAAGCATTTTTTGTGGTTTCTTATATTGGTTTGTGAACCACTGAGCACATTCATAAAATGCATCAGATATGCAGTACAATGTAAGAACTTTGAAACATGACCCCAAAAGGAGAATTGAACTTACTGGCCTCATCCTATGATTAATATGTACTCTTTTTGCCAAAACATAATCTTGTCAAACTCTTATGTATTGTCCTACAAAAAGGGTGGTGCCTACTGTGTGATATACCATCATAGTAATACGTTGTGGCATCAATGTGGTTGAACCTGGAAAACACTTCACGAGATCATGTAACCAAAAGTGAAGTATGACACAGTCTATTCTGTTGCTTAATGTATATTTACATACTTACATATTCACGTATCAAAGTGACGGACAAGGGATGTTGGAAGTGAAGGTGTGAAATTGGTGGGGATTGACTTTTTTTTGCAAAAAGATTCGTTGCCGCAGTGGTCAAAAAGGTCAAAACCAACTAAAAAGTGTTTTTACAGGTTCTGTATTCCCTGTATTCTCAAATTTAGCAGAGAAACAAAACTCGATTAAAAACAAAACCAGATTTTGTACCATGATGCGCATTCAGGAATAAACGTTCATTCTCAAATCGGCTGTAGATGGGTACTTGAATCTCGTCTCGTATGCCTTCAATCGAGCACGATAGCTGAAAGTCAATCTACTGTGGCAGGTTTCTACGCAATCTCTAGCGATAACGCAACATATTCGACAGTCCCGCCTTCACCATTCATATGCGCCCCGTACCTCATCAATACACGGCTCCTTACCGTTTGCTAAGTCACTTACGAGAGTGATATGATCTCATATTATGCAGTTCGAACTTGTGTGGCTCAAAGCGGCAACACGTCTTGTGATGATTTACCTACGATAAAGTTTTCCATATTTTTGTAAAAAGGATAAAATAAGCTGATGAAGATCAACTTTGGTTGTTATAAATTTTGTTTGCTAGCTACCATCCGCAATTAAAATGATGATGTGGAACTCTCAGCTGTCATTCTATCCGGTCATATTGTCCATTCTTCCGTCTCTTTACTCTCTTCCGACCGAGGAACTGCTCCTGGGATCTTACCATGCATTTGGTCAAGGTGGGGAGCCGGGGTCGTCGCTATCCAAAGGCGCAGGAATCAAGATCCACACCAATCAAGAAGTTAAAATTGAGATTCCCAAGAGAGAAATAACTGAGTCTTTCAAAGGAGTTTTTCCAAAGCACAACCATCGAGTCAAAGTCGCCACACCCTGGCAAATATACTATGAAGTTGCTGAAAAAGCTTCTCGAGCATCCGTTTTTCCTCAGGTCAAGAGATTGGCTGAGAGCGTGCTCAAATTGGGGTCGGATTTGAACAATATCCCAGACGGTTCTCAAATTCATACGGCAATTACCCGGGATATCATTGATCTTGCTCGTAGTGTAATTCGAAATGAAGTAACAAATGAAGCAGAAAGAATCTGGGCTCTTGGTATATTCTCATACCTAAACCCTCATATCCACGTGTCTACTCCAGTTACCTGGAAGGACGAGCACTTGAGTAGACCTCGTGAAGATCTTCAATTATTTTTGCTGAAAGGTAAGATTCCTTAACAAAATGACTCTCCGAGGAAATATATGAAGTCCAACTCCGAGGATCTTTTGAAATGTATCACGATTGATAGATCACAACTTGAAGAAAGTCGTTCATAAAATCTGGTCAAGCTCTCCTTCAAAAGCCAAACCATCAGAATGTAAGTGGTGCCTTGAGTTATTTTGTAGATGTATTTAACTCTATCTTACTTATCGTCTTGATCTCTATCTTAGTGATTTCAGAAACCATGCAAAGGGAATCATCAATAAGCTTTATCCAAAAAGAATTAGACAGCACTTCACATGCCCCTTCGAAAGACTTCAGTGAGATTTACCTTAGTTTTATCAATTTGAGGTCTCCAATCTGTTGGGATCGTCTTTCAACATTTAAAAAGATGATCTTATCATTTTTGTCCAAACCTATAATAAGTTCCGAACGCGAAGAAGTATTTGATGAAGAGAAAAATGTGATCAGACTACTATTATATTTAGAAGAACATCATTACATCGGCTTTCGAGATTTCAACGCCTTGATCAAAAACAAAGATATCTGCCCGAGGATTCTGCATAGTGATATCGAGATCCAACTTTCAGATAATCGACTAGCTTCAGAATTCAAGCTACTTTTGAAAAAGTTCCAAAACTCAAAGGATCTCGAAGTATCTCATATAACTCAAATATTAAGAGTCAAATCCATTTCATCTCAACAGTTGAAAAGATTTATAAGAGTTTTAGATGCACTCTTTGAAAGTAATGAACATTTATTCAAATCTATGGCTCTTCAACTGAATGATCATCCTAAAATGATTCCAGATCTCGTAAAGATCTTGCCCAATTTTTTACCAGATCGCACAGTTGAAATTTACTCTCTCTGGGATCGACCAAAAGAACTTAAGACATTGGTCTTGAGAAAACGTGAGTCACATTGAAATTCAGATTACTAAAGATGAAATAAGACTAAAATATATGGATCTATCGTATTCTTTTAACCGATTCTAGAGGAAGATCAAATAGCAGAAAAACATCGCAACCATCTTGCAGATACTTTGATCTCCAATAGAGTCCTTTCGACTGCCGAGGCTGGAAAAGGCTTGAAAGTCCTAACTTGGAACTTTGCAACTCCAAGAGGCATAGAATTGACCAAAATCTTACACGACATATTCAAGGTTGTGTCTCGAAGGTTTACTGCAAAGGACTTCAGATTGAAGAACGAATTGATAGAATATATCCTTCACCTTATTTCACTCAAAAATGATGATAAAAGACCATTTTGGTATCTTCCAGTAGAAGATAAGGCATTGAGAAATGCTAATAGGTTCAATGAACTTATAGGACCTTTTTTAAAGAAATCAAAGAATTTCTTCAACATCCTTCTTGGAAACAAAACTGTACCATTGAGGAATTCAGGGAATCTCTCGGTGTACTTGAACAGGTAAGATATGTAATTCTTCAAGAGGGAAACAGAAAGAAGAAAATGTACTGACTGAAGGATTTCATACCTTCAAAGATCCTTTCACCTTTGTGTAGAAAGAATGGTTTGATACTTTAGAGGCAACGGTGCAGTCGAGCCAAAGCGAAGGTCTGGAATCTCGAGGCTAACTCCGACGTTCTCTTCTTTGCCAGAATAGCTTCTCCATCCCAAGAGATGATTGCATTGTTTTCAGATTTTGGATCCTCACTTTACACTTATGATACACGCCATTTTCTTCCTGATTATACACAATGTCTTTTCGCCATCCAAATCCCAATAACTTGAAAGATAAAGTGTTTTAGAATAGGATATATGAGAAATCTTCAAAGATCTTTTTTCTTCATTTCTTATCTTTTGTCAACTCATTGTTCTTGAAACTCACTTGAAGTCTTCCAGGCAAGCAGCAAAGACAAACAATCCTACAAATACCTCTGCTGTGGTAGTTTTCCTTAGAAATCACTCTTTTTGCAAAGATCTTATTCAACCTAACTTGCAATGGGAAGTAGTTTAAGTATATTGTACAACGGCAGAAAGCCGTTGCTTGAGGTTTTATTTAGTAGCTCCTGTCTTTCGGAGCATTCTTTTGGAGTTTGCTTTTTGAGCCCTCCACACCACCACAAATCTTACAGAGAATGACGCAGGAATTGAAATGGAAATTAAACACGTATGAACCTAGAACCCAAATATTCAAGAAAAATATATACTACGGCATGATGCTGAGGCTATCTGGATCGAGAGAGGCCTCGTCACTAGCTCTGAACGTCGAACTCCCGATACTAGTCAGGTGTAAGTGAACATAATTTGCTTGACAAAATGCCTGATGGACCTATTTCAAAGGTTGTTATCATTAGTTAGGGTAACCTTCAGAAAGCGTGATGAATAGAGAGCAGGTAAAAAGTGGATCCCGCGTGGTATTGACGGGGCAGAAGTGGCATAGCAGTGCGAAAAGACAAGTGGGTGAAGAGATCAGACCTACTTGATCAAAGAACACGGAGCTGTGACTGTGGGGGGGTTTGGTTTGGGCGAAGGCAAGGCTTGAAGTGCTTCCAGCCCGCTTGATAATTCCGAAAGAGCAGACGACACAATT